ATTGGGATATTGAGTGACTACAAGAAAATGGACCAGGATTACATGAGGTGCAGTGCAAAGGGCCAAAAGATGCCCAAATTAACCTCACAGATGCTGCAAAATCAGGAGAAAAAATCATGGAGGAAGACAGAACTTGGAGGGGAAGATACAAGTGATGTGGCAAGAATACTGAAAAAAAAAATCTTTGAGGGGGAGATATGAGTGCCATGTTGCTGTCACCAATTTCCAGACAGCAGAACAGATCCTGCTGGCCCAGCAAAATATCACCCAGGGCTGCCCCAGCTGCTGATATTCATGTTATATGAAAGTAAAAGGAAAGCAGTTATTTAGTGCTCTCCAGAGTGTGCCCTGAGATGTGGTTTCACTTTCTCAAATACAGATGATAACTACAATGGCCGACTTTTATTAAGTTTCCAACAGAGGAATGTTTGGGGCTATGTTCATATTTTTAACTTTAGGTTGAAAGTCTGGTGTTCAGGATAAGGCAGTTGCTGGTCAGGGGAAAGGAAGAAAGTAGATCCCCAGGGCAATACCTCCTTTCCTGTTTAAAGTCTTAGGATATATCTCTTCCCAAGTGCTAATTCGACCAAAATCATTATCTTAAGCTTTTTGACATGTGATAAGCAGAATCCCTCCCTAAGCACATCTGATAAAGTGGAAAAAATTAATTCTCTGTGAATGCAGGGTGCACATGGTCTCCTTAGAATTACTCCAGATACTTAAACATGGAGAGTCCTTTTTAAAAGAGACTTAATTCAAGAGCCAAAGAGCTTCTCTCTTTCAGAGACAGGAAAGCACCTTCAGACAGGGTCTGAAAGGACCCAAATCAGGCACACAACATTTTCTGGCACATTCTCCAAATCTGCCTGAAGAGGTGAATAGTACCCAGTGCGCTGCCAGTTCATACCCCAGCTCAAGTCTTACTGCTCTCTGTAGGAGATGAGACACAAGGAGAAGTAGCTCAGGCCTTTCTTTATTTCCCCCTCACTTTCTTTAGTGTAGCCTGCAGAGGTGTCTGGGCTGCTCTAAGTGATGCTGTAATTCAGCAAGGCTGGAACACCCTCTCTACTATCAGCTTAATGCTTGGAGATCCTGGAGGATGGCAAGTGTGGTGCAATTACCAGACTTAGCCTTGTTTCTAGTGCTTTAGTGGGTATTCTCTCTGCTAATAGGAGAATGTGAGCACAACAGGTCAATCATACAGCATTAACTCCCAATCAGCTTACTCAGCTGTAAAATCCTTCAGTTTATCTGGGAATGCCGCCAGGTCAGTCCTATTTGTAAGTGCAGCCTAAACAGCAGCAACATCTCTAATTTTTCCTTGGCCTGTATTTGCCAGCTCTTTCTAATGTCTACTTGAATTTCCAGGCACGGGGGTTTGATCTCATTCATGAATCATCTGTTCCACACACCCAAACCCTGCATGGTGGATGTGGCCAGAACTCACACTGCACAGAGAAAACTCTTTTGTTACATGAGTCCCCCAGTTCAAGTGCCCATGCAATTAACAATTGTGCCTGAAATGTCAGATTTCTTATGTATCTCGTCACAACTGGGGGAAAACAAGAGGAATTAGAAACTTCTGATGGGTACCAATTCCTTCCATAAGAGATCTTTTCTTTAAAGTTCTCAAGTCATGTTTGAAATCCCAAGCAAGCCTTGATGGTGACTTAAATTGAGTAATAGGGACAAAAGAGAGCAAGAAGGGCTGTATTACAGAGTAAAAGCATGCGATGGTTGGTTAAGGATGGAGAAGTAAACATATTTTTCATAATTCTTTGGGACCATAAGGATGATTAAGTAATAAAATCTTTGACCAACTCAGTTACTTCTCCTAATGGTTCCTGTTAGATTATAAAATATGTTAATAAACAATGGGCCTGGGGAAGGGAAATCCATCTTGTTTCCTGAATTCTTGTAAGAAAAAAGTCACTTGAGCTTTTAAAGTCTAGACAGTAAATTAACTGATGAAATGTGAAATAATTTTTTCACTGCATAAACATGGTCATGATGTTGGCAAAGTGCTCAGGGCACTCCCAGTGTGCAAGGAATAGGAGCATCTGTTTAATGTAGGGCTCAGTGAAGTTTCACTGACAAGGTGTCTCCCAGGGGCTGCCTACAGTGGACTGCAGATCAGAAAATGAATGTTTCTTGTTTGGAAAATCCTGCATGAGGAAAATACTCCACTGTTGTTAATTTAAGTGAAAGTTTTCTGCTGATGATTCAATGCGTTTCATTCCTTTCTTTGAAATTGTGATTTGCTTTTCTCATCCAAAATTCTGCAGTATGCCAAAGGATGACACAATTTCAGAATATGTTTTTCAGGTCAAAATAAAAGTAATGTAAAATTGGTCTTAATGCCAAGAGAATTTAAGCAGAATTCTGTTTAAGACTGTAACAATAAGTATTTTTCCTTTCAATGTCTAAAAGCACTTTTTAGTTCCTTAAACTGTCCCTGCAGTGTCCCTTCATCACAGTAATAGCCCATCAGTTGTTTCTCTTCAGAAACTCCTGTACAGTACTTTTTTTGCTGATGAAACCTGCTGTGTATAAACTTTGGAGGCAAGGCTGGTGAATGCATTGGTTGGGAAGGAGACAAATCAAATGCCAAGTCTGGGCTAAGAGAGCTTCCTGACTGCCTCATTAGAGCCCCCAGTCTGCACCACTGCCATCCTGCAGCTGTACAGCCCATTTTAATTGGGCTCAGACACTGTCTCGGCACACTTGCTCTTCAGACAAGCACTGTAAACTCATTTTGCCCATCATGACACTTTTTTGACACACATCTTTTGTTTGGTTTTTTCAAGGCTTGACAAACGCCACTTGGGAATTAAATTCTAAGTCTGCACGATTTCCTTTTTCAAAACACCAAATATTCTGCATGAAGGATGCATTATTCTTCCCCCCAAATTTATACACCTAGATTTTTTTTTAAAATTTGTCGGCCATAAAGTGCTTCTACCTCTGCTGTCCCCCTCTTTTTGTGGGTAATGTTGCAGATCACACAGCTCTGATTTAAACAGACTCTAGATCTTCTTCTCTTGGACAAACTACAGCTTGGAAAAAATTTGCTGTGCTGTTTCAAACAAGGAGTTCAGGGCAACCTGCTTTTCATGGTTACTTCCTCTCATTTGTCATTCTGAAAAGTTTAATACTAATAGGCAAATCTCTAGTGCTTTATTGAGCTTTTGCTGTTCAGGGAGAGGCAATGCTGTTTGGAGAGCTATTTCAGACCCTTAAAAAGTAAATTCAAGAGCTCCCCAACATAATGCATGAAAAATGCTGGTGCTGGCTGAGCTACACCTGATGCCTTTTGGTTAAATGATGGAGTTTTACAGGATCCTAAGGCCTGTTCAATGGCTTTCTTTAGGTTTTGAGGCTGATTGGGCACATTGCAGAGACATCATATATAAGGAATACATGAAAATAACTAATTAAAAGTAGATGCAACTCTGAGTCACTTTTCTATACTGGAACCAAATCTAATTGCTCTGTTAATAGCAAAAGACCTTGGCCTTCAGAAGGCAGAACTGATTATGTATTTTTTTCATATATACACACACATATATATATATGCACACATATATAATTCATCTCCTACACATAATTAAGCTATGAATTTCTGGATGTTCAAGATGAGGAATTAAGTGGATGCTCAAATTATTTTCCTGCATGTATCCTTCTTAACACCCTTTTGCTGCCTTTTTGCCTTTTTTTTCCTTCCCAACTATGAAGTCAGATTATTTGAAATTGTTCTTTCTAACATGACCCACATATATTAAAATGGAATCATATTCTGGGTTGGTTGGGAAATGAGGCACATACATTTCAGGATTTTTCTTTTGAAGTTTGTGGTGAATTTAATATTCAGTTAAGTAGGACTTTGATGCCAACAGAGTTGGAATAAACAGGGCTGCTGCCATTTTGTTCTTCGTATTCCTTCTGCATATTTGGCCCAGATTCCTGAAAGCTCTAAGACTCTAACTTTGGCTAATCACCTCTGAAGTTGCAAGGCACAGTCATTTCCTAAAACTGAAAATGGGTCTGGGAAGAGATGAAAATTCTTTTTCATTTATGCACGACACCAATAAATTTTAAACCAGCATAATTCCTTATTTTTTGCTACCACCTTTGTTTATAGTGTAACACTCCCAAAATGTGCTGAGTGGTACACACAGAAATAAAAGAGCTTGTGTCTAAAAAGAAGAGCTGGGGAAACAGACTGAACATGGAAGTAAAATGATTACACTGGATCATGACTGAGTGTCTATTTTCAAAGAAATTAGCTTGTTAGATCAAAGGAGAGAGGAAAGGGAGTGAAATGATGAGAGGAGAAGGCATGAGAACAGAGGAGGAAAACAACAGGTTGAAAAGTTCCTCTTCAGGGTGCTGAGACTGTGTGATGTCAGTTCAATACTTCTAGACACAGAAAAGGAAGAGGATTCACATGAAGTAAGAGGAGAAAACAAATTTCTTTCTGTTTAGCATTAAAGTCAACCCACCAGCTCAGGACTGATCTTCATCAAAATAATGTTTCAAACCATCAAATCTGACACCAAGATCTCAGAAGAAACAAGAAGACAGGCGATTTCCATAGCACAATTTCATTTGAGTTTTCAGGAATACTTCTCCAGAGTTTTAAGTAATTTAATCCATGTTGTTCTATACAAACTATCTAATTATATGTGAAGGAGCAGCCTTAAAAGATAAATTCTGTGTTTACTTGCTAGCTTTAAATTTCAACTCCTCACTAATGGTGGAGTACAAGCACTAGCCTGTCCCCACTTGTCAATTTTGTAAGTCTAATTCTGTGACAGGTGAGCATTCAAATGTAACATTCTGTTCTAAAAATATTCAGATCTTTACTCTTCTGCAGGTCATGTTTTTTCCAAGTCTGCCTGGTTTTAGTAATCAATCGACACACTCAGGAAAAAAACAAAAGGGAAGTAAAAATAATAATGAGCAAAATGAAAAATAATATAAAAATTACAGTAACTCACACTTGGGCTCTCCTTGGTCTTGCTGTCTTTACTGGAAGCTCCACTCAGCTGCTCAATTAAACTGTAATGTGCTAATTGTTCAGGTCCATCCTCTCCAAAGTGGCCATAGAGACTGTGTTGGTATAAATCCAAAATTGACATTGGGTTCCCCAAAAACGACCTTCTCTGACTTTGTTTTTCCTGCATAGCTGCAAGAGATGTAACAAATAATATCATTATGACAGTCTACATAGATTTTAATGTAATTTTACAATTTTTCAATGAATTTAAATTGTTTTATCTGAAATATAATGCCATAGAAACATTAAAAATACTACCTTCTAATTCTCCAATGCATATACAGGGGCCTGTTCACACTTAATGTTTGAGCTGGAGGAGATAGTATGAGACAGACAGAACTAATTTCCTTTCTTTTCAAATTATAGACAAGGTGGTTAATTTGGGGGATCTTCCCACTTAATTATGTGCAGCAAGATTTTGTTCTTCTCTTTTAATAGACTCACATGGCAGATGTGCTAAGTTCCTTTAGCATACCCTTCAGTATGGTACAATAATCTGTACTTGAGAGTTTTTTCCTTTTCACTACATTTTAAGGAATACAACGGCATAAAAAACATATAAGTAAGGTAAGAAGGTGGTGCTTGCTTTAGATCCTGCTGTAGCACAACAACATTAGGAATAAAGCCCTGGTTTCTGAAGTCCAAGGCTGAAAACTCATTCAGAAGAACAAAATAATACCAGGGGAAATTTCTGCAGCTTCATGAAAGCACACAGGAGACAGATGTTTATGTGAACATTAAGTTCTTTCCTGACACTTCTTGTTCCACAAACTTCAACTCTGCCTTTTAACCTACAGCCTTAGGAGAAGGTCTGCCTCCAATGCCTCTAACAGAATCACACCAGGGTAGAACCAATTTATGATATTGAGATCAAAACACTTTCATGGTTGGAACAGAAGGATCTGGAATGTTTGGCATACTCCCTATTGCTTCACTGACCTTCTCTGTAACATTGGGCAATGCACTGGGAATCTCATGCTAAGCCCATTAAATCAACAAAAGTCTTATCATTGACTTTTAATAGCCTTTGCATTGGGCACCCAGTCTTTCTGTTCCCTGCTCATAAATGGAAAATGATAATCACTCCAACATTATAATTGTGCAGCCAGTGAGTTTGGGGATTCAGCTAATAAATGCAATTATCTATTCATATAAAAATATTCTCTGTGGATTGGTTTGCTGGAGCCCCTGCCCCAGCCTCATGTGGCTGTTTTGAGGTTATATCAATTGTGTGCATAAAGACACTGAGACCTTTGAACACAGAATGGGATAAAGCATGGTTGTTAATTCCATGTGAGAACAGCATTTACACAGCACAGGACAGAAACCCCGACTATGAGGAATGAGCACAGCAGAAATACTTTTGCAATAATGTGTCATAATCTTCTATTTGTCTCAATCACAATTACGTATTTTATTCTCTTACTGGCTCAAAAGGGAGGCAAATACACAAAATTAATGGATCTTTATGTAAGATAGTCATCCCATGTCATGCTTAGATATCATTAGACTTGGAATCTGCTGCCATTTAAAGCAACTGCTAACACACGATGAAAATAGGGTGGGGTTTTTTTTGCAAATTGTGATGAATGCAGGGAAAAAAAAAGCTTCTGTACTTCTTTAAAAACCCCCACATTTATTGCATTAAAATATGCTTTGTAAAAAGCAAAATCTGTAAAAATAAGTGTTTATGGGCTGACTAAAATGACTTGCATTTTCTACAGATTAAACCCACAAAGCTGCAGCACTAATGTAAATAAATGGTCCTAGCTTCCTATTCTGCTCTCTCCCATGGAATCACAAGCAATGGATTAGCTGTGAAAATGCCAAATGTTGGAGACACTGAAGAGCACAGCATCCAGCACCCGTGCTGCTCTCCGTGCCATCGTCACCTGGAGATTGTGCTGCAGGTGCTGATCTCTGCCAGGCCAGGCCTGGGGCTGCTCAGGGCACCAGCTCCAGGCTGGTGCCAGCACCTTGCACTGGCCAGAATTCCCCACCTGCAGGGATCTGTGGGCTGCAAGGACAAGGACAGAGCCGCCCTCCCCTCGCCGCCCCCGGGCACACATCTGCTCGGGAAGGTGGCTCCGAGCACAGCAGGCTGGTGATGGAGACAAGGCAGCAATTTCCCAGGTTATTAAACACACAGAAAACTATTATCTCGAGAACTTCACTTAATGTATTTTTATCTAGTGGAATTCAGTAAATTTCGAATTGCCATCAATTCTCACTAAAAGCTTTCTTACTTGAAAGCTGCAATATATACAGAGAGGAAAATGAGAGAGAGTTCACTGTGGTACCATAACCAACATCACCTTGACACAGAGGTTGGGAAACTGTGGCCTTCATCACTGCATTATTTCAACTGGCTGTATAACAAAAAAGAAAAAAAAAAAAAAAGAAAACTATATTTCTAGTCACTTTTCAATTTTGTAATAATGTAATTACTTTTATTTGCACCACAGAGATTTATGTATAAAAACCTACAAGTTAAGCCCCCATTAGCAAAAACTGTGGAAGAAGGGAAAAAGAATTTACACATAATAAAAAGAAAAAGGTAATAAAAAGTTAATGGAAAATTAGACTGAAGAAAGATTTGGGGTTAGAAAGTAAAATCTAGACAGAAAGTTCAATGAAGGACACCATCTGCTGCTGAGTCAGTGTGGGGATGAGGGACATACATCTTTATGTACCAATTTTCAATTACCTTGTCTGTTGCTCTTTGTTAACTCCACAAGAGTCTCCTCTGCAGTTCTGAAATAAGTGGTTTTGTACTCTGGCTCTGGCTCACTGTCAGTGCTGCTCGCTGAGTACATGCACACCCTTAGAGCTGTGTCCTACACAAAGAAGGGTATGGCAGCAAGTCAGAAAATGCAAATATGTCAAAATAATGCTGAAGATAGTATTGGGAGTAGCACATTTTATATTCATCATGCAGTATAAACAGGTAGCTCAACTGGGAAAGTGTGCATTACCAGTCTAACCCCTTCAAGCAAGTAATCATCAGTCTGACACGGGGGAAATAATCCATTCTTGTCCTGCTAGTCTGTCCACACAGTCCACATTCTTGTCCACTCATCAGTCTGACACGGGGGAAATAATCCATTCTTGTCCTGCTAGATCCCCTGAGACAGTCTGGCAGAAACAATCCATATTTTAACTTTTTTTCCCCCACTGTGACATTGTTTTCGATTCCACCAACATTTTTGGATAATTTTATCCACCAAGTTCAATTTTGGTAGTTCTCAAGTATGTTTAATACAGTCTATTTGTAACATGCAAAATTGTCACATCACAAATAGTTTGCTGCAAGCAACTCTAGAGAGAGTTAGGATGACCAGTAGACAATACACCATTTCCACACCAGTAAATCTTAGTTTTTTCCTAAATTCATGTCTCTTGTCCTGATACTTATACTGCAGTACTGGAGAGCTGTTAGTTCCCAGGTGATTCCCGTGCCAGCTCTTTCCAGGAAGCAGCATTATTGATTTTTTTTTCTGGGAATACAGAGGAACACTGACAGCTCTGGACAGCTTCTAATCATGGAAGGCCTGAAGGCTCAAACCATTCAGGAGCAGCAGCTCAGTACAATAAACCCCACAAACCAGGCAGGGGGAAGCCAGGCCTGATAGTGTTGGGGTGATAGCATGTACAAATACCACCTACTACCCCTACTCTGGCGGCTCTAGTGAGATTTTAATTCTGTTTCTCTAATAGGGATAATAATTTCCCCATCTTTCCATCCATGCTGCAGTTTTTTAACTGATGCAGAAGGACATTCTTTTGTTAGGAATCACACACTTGTGGAGAGGGAAGCAGAGTTGAGGATACCCGCATGCAGCCAGGAATGCCCAGCATTAGAGATTGCAAGTCAGCTGTAGTCCCAAAACCACATAGAAACATGTTAGAAGAGTATTTTCCTGTTCACAGTACTTCCATAGCACCTCTCAAAGTCTCATACAACACAGCCATACTGACAAGGAAACCTAGTCCTGGGGAAAAAAAACAATCTCTATCTCATGAACAGCAACAAACAAGATCAACTTTTCTAGAAGAGAATGGAGTAAAATGTCTCAATTTCCTTTTCTAAAAGGTCTCCTTTTCCTTTTCTTTTTCTTTAGAAAAGGAAACAAAGGTTCTTTGTCCTCCTTTAGAACCAGGAGGACAAAGACCCTTTAGGTGCTGTATTATTATCACTGATAAATAATGAGACAGCGAATGAAGGGTAAGGAAGTAAATGCAGCTGTTAGATTGTTAGTTACTCTTCACACCATATTAAAACACTGGCCATTAAAACACTGATACCTCTACATTGGCCACAGCACCCATCTCATTTAAGAGATGCCACTACTCATTTTATACCTTTGGTTTAGTAGTTTTCTTGGGGGTCCACTCCGGAAGAACTTCTCTATTTTCCACAGTCTCTTCAGCGTGTTCTAATGAGGCAGAGGTCACAGAACTTGCTTCATGTTCACTTTGCTTTGCAAGGTTAATTATTCCTGAATTAAGGGAGATATTATTTAAATTCTAGGTCTCATCAGCATCTTCATGATAGTGTGTCAATTATAATTCAGTAAAAGCTGAGGGCAAATTGTGATACTTTCATTATGTCCAATAATATTTTACTACTCAAAGGAAGAACTTACTAACTTACTGGAATATTTCTAACTAAAGTAGCAGAATTTCATCCAAATCCTTTTCCAGTTAACGAGAGAAGAGGAAGGCATGAATTTAAATCTCTTCATTAGTTATGAAATATATATACCCTTTCAACAAAGAAACAACATTCAGTAACTACTTCTAGGCATTTCAGGATCTTCTCCTCTGCTATTTAATGTTCTTACAGAACAATCTTTTAATATAAATATAATTGGAAGTACCTTTCTAGCAGAAAGCCAGCTTTTTTATTTGCTATATTTGCACTATGCAAAATCGAAACATCAAAGAAGATATATGGTGCATATGAAATAAAGTGATAATTGTAATTTGGATGAGAAAGTGAGGGAGAGGAGAATTGAATGAAGATAGTCTAGTAAAGAATGAGCTGACCCCATCATCTGATGTATACTACTTTTTTGTAACATCTCTTCATGACAATTTAATTAAGATACAAACCCTACAAGGTTGGTGCAGTGAATATTAGCATTAAGATCAGAACAATCTTACTGCTACTGACTTCTTATGAAGCAATTCAATGCTTGCAGTTTCTGTTCAATTTGTTATAATGACAGTGTTTAATCATGGGCTCTACTCTATAACACACTGCTGAATTGAGGTCACACATGTGGCCATTCAAGCATGCAGCACGTAATCTATAACTAAGATTTCTCTTCTGAATCCTTCTCAGCTGTATCATCAATTAACACTACAATTATTTTAGAAATACTAAGTATTAAAATATATTTTATTTAGCTTTGATTTGAAACAAGCAAGGGAGTCTGCAATAAAGCATACCATGTGTGTTTGCAGTCTATTATACCACTACAATACTGCACTGGGAATATTGCTAAATCAACTGAGTTCTGAGATGTTTAATTAGAAACCTTCTGTTATGCATCCTATGGCCATATAAGAGAGGCTTCTTTCCTCCTAGGTTCAATATATGTCAGCTCATTAGCAGAATATACATTTGATGGCCTTAAACTAAGCTCAAACTTGATATTTAGCCTTACATGCTAATTACACAGAATCTCTCTTATAAAGGGATACAAATTTATACAAGTTAAATACTCACAACTTCTACAGGAGCAATAACTGGACTGACACAGTGCTAATCACCATAACCCCAATAAATGAGTGACATTGCATTTGGTCAAGATAAAACAATACCCTTCTCTATTAAGCTAATCACTTTTACTGTGCTTTCTGCTGTATCTGTTGTGCTGACTATGAAAATTTCCCCATTGTTAATGCTACATGATTTTTAATGCTATTAACATATACATTAATAACTCCAAAGCCTTCCAAAACCAAATATAAACAGTCAATGTTTGTTTATAAAAAATGCACAGACTTCAATGGAACTATTTAATAATACAGAGTTACTTTCTGGAGCTTTGATGGATTGCCAGTCCTTTTATACCTTTGTCAGCTCTTCCTTTATAACTTAAACACACACATAGCTCATAAGTGAAAGTCAGGTACTTTATGTTCATATACAGAAATGTGTTTGTATGATGTAGTAACTAATGAGAACCTTGTATGAGGTCAAGGCTGTATATTCAGTGGGACAGAATTTATGCATTGAGGCCAAATGAGTCTTTAGCTCAAATCCAGTATCAAAAGCAAGTCTTTATGAATTTATCTTTTCTATGTCACAACATGGCTGTGCTTTATACTTTGTACAGTGTGATCCTGAATACTGCTGAACATCCGTATTCTTTGTCAAGTCAACTTCCAAGGTTGTCATATGGGTTTTTTTTCTTCAAGTACTGTTTCTTGAGAAAAGGCTTTAAGTACTAAACTAATTTTTCTTTCTCAGATAAGTATTTTGTATAACAAAATTTCCATATGGCTCAGGCCACAAAGTTGTTAACCTTACGCATTCATAAAGAGAGTATCTTCTGCTCCGCATTTAACATTTCTGTTACCAATTGCCATTATTACAGGATTCCTGCTAATCAAAACAGAGGCCGAGGCAGAAATAATGTGATTTTCAGTGTAATTGACATTTTACCTGAGGAAGCTGGTTTGGGAAGGCGACTTTGGAAAGGTCGTATCCCTTTGGCAGTCATGGCCGGATCAGATGTTGAGTGACTAATTACACTTTCCACAGGCTCCTGGCTCTTAGCTGCTGAAGGCACTTCTCGCTCAAGAGTTTTGGCTTTTACTGAAGGAGCTGAAAGAGGAACTTGCTCAGATGCTGCAAAGATTCCCGTTTCCAAGGGTGACTCTTGCTTAGAAATGTGTCTGCCCGTCGATCGGTTCCCCGAGTCAGGGAGGGGGAAGGTTCCAATCCCGCTGTCCAGCGTCCTCATCTGGCAGCAAGACTCTAAGGCACAGGAAATTGGTGTGATGGGATGGAACTAAAGGCATTTAAAGCCAGGGAAAGGATCTAGGGGGAAAAAAGGGCACCTTCAAGGGAAGGGAAACGTTTTGCACTTTGTGAGTGTGCTGTTACCTGTCACTGGAATGCTTTTGACATTTTGTCTAACTGAATACAAGGAAATCCCTGTTGAGATGCAATGAAATTAAACAAGTGCCAAAACATTGACACTGGCCTGCTTTGGAGCAACAGTGCGATAATGGATAAGTGGGGCAGGTCCTGGAAAGCAATTACAGATAAAATTTTAAAATAATTTCATTTGAAAGCCCACAGAATGTCTAGAGAGTGCCAGTGTGAGGGATGGAGTAGTGCAATATATTCCTTCCAACATAAACCCACTCTCCGTGAAGGTTTGGCCTCTCCACACCTGTGTTTTGCTAATTGTTTCTCACACAAGAAGGCATTCATCAAAATGTGTGATATATTCTTACACAAAATTAAGATTTACAGAATTTCTTAGAGATACCCATCTCTCAGAGCACCCTGAAAATCTTGGACAGAAACAACCCTGCCTTTGTTTACCTTGTCACACATGGTCTGCACATCCCAGTTTGGGTAAGTGTCCAAAATGCCAGGCACCTTTAATACTTTTTTTTGGAAGCACTGTGGTCCCACACAGCCCTCCAGCTCATTCATCCTATTGGAAAGATCCTGTACAAACCATGGAACAGGGAAAGGTGCAAATGTAGCTGTGTGCTCACTGCTATTTGAGCAACCAGGATGTACAGGCAACCCCCCTGCCCTCTCATTCCCTACCAGTTTCCAGAGACTTCCCTTTTGTTTCTGTAAGGGGCAAACAATGCTGTAGAGCCTGTGATGGCAAGGTCCTTCTGAGAGCTATAAACACCAAGGAGGGAACTTCAGCACTAATGGTTGGAAAATGAGCATAATTTAGGTTAAATGTCTGGAAACATCCCTTGACAGCAAGATCTTAAGTCTGTGGCAGACAATCCCAAAGGAAGCAGAGGAATTTCCTTTGCTTTGAACAATTTAAGGCTTCACTTGACTAAAGATATACTGCACTGAACAATTGTACTCTAGCAGGAGATGCAGAACATGGCTCAATATATCTTCTCCATCTCTATTTTTTGTGTTTCTGAGTATTTTTTTTATGATATGTCCAATTGTTATTTAAGTCTGTTGTAGTTGGCAGTTCTCTTTCAAGTAATTTTCATTATTTTTTTCCTCTGCAGTGTTTCTAATACTCTCAAAAATTTGGAAATATTTCTCCCCTATGGGTTTTGCCTATTTGTTTTTGAACTAAGAACATTACCATAGTCATTCTTGTTAAATATCTCAACGGGCTTTTCTTAACAAGGAAGAAACTACTTACAGACAAATTAAATATGTATTTCTATTTCATAGTTCTTGAGAAAGGAGAAGCAGCCTATATTTTTGTGGTTCTCTTTGCCTTATCCTCATCACTCAGGATCAAAGAAAGACTGAAAGTCCTACTGAGCACCTGAACCTTACAGGGCCTGGCTGAGCTGCAGCAGCAAATTCTCTGTGCATTGTCTTTTAAAAGGGCAGTAAGTGCTAATGTGTAATAATGATTTTTGAAGTTGCTGAAGGTTTCCAAGGAAGCATGAAGAAAAAAAAAAGATAATTATATTTGGTTCTGCTGCATCAAAAGGAGGTATCCCATCTACTGAACCCTCTGATCTCAGCTATGCTCACTCTAACTTTTTGTTTGTTTGTTTTTGAATAACAAAATACCTAGATAGAAGTGTGAGTGTGGAAAAGCAATTTAAAATGCCAGACATTGCTCTTGTCATTTTCTGAAAATAATCAAGCTGAAACAGCATGTTAGCTCGTGGACAGGCAATTCTTCAACTAAGGACTATTGGTGAGAGAGTTAGAAAATAAAGGGAAATATGGAATAAAAAAGGATTTCTGTTATCTCCCTTTCAACCAAATGACATCTGAGCACCCCTGGTTGTGTTGGAGAGGCAGAGAGACAGGGAGTAAACTGAAAACATAAAAACCACAGAAGTCTGAGGAGCCTCCCCTCTCCTGTCTGTATGGTCACTGTGAGACCTGATTTGGAACCCATTTCCACAGGGACTCTGAAGGATCTTTCAGTGTTGTTTCCTTTCTTACCATTCTCTAAGAAATGAAAAAGTCATTCCCTCTGAATTATTACAGGAAATTTAAGTAGGGTCAAAATGTATATCAAAAAGCAAAGCTACAGCCTTGGCTAAGGAGAAGTGGAAGATGGAAACTTTTATCTTCTGAGGACGTTTCTTAAAATGACATATGGGTTTCTCTTGCCCACTATTGCCTTGTGTACATCTAGGAATGGACCATGGAAACAATGGCAGAGAATCAAAAGAAATGAATACTGAGGGCCAGATTTCCAGAATATACAGTCTCCTGCTGTATCCAAAATAATTGGGAGAGTGATGAAGGAGCACACCAGTGGTATCACATTCAATTAAAAGGAAAATAGTTTTAATCAATTATATTCTTCCTCCAGAGAGACTTTATCCATGATAAAGGAAATATACCAGGTGGAAAACAGATTTTCAAAGCAGCTCACACAGCTCAATTTTTAGTTCTGAAAAACCACAAAAGGGTCTGGTTTTCAAAGTGCTCAATGCTTGGCAGCTCCTGTTGTGACACTTGGAGACAGATTTTTAGAAAATTCTGTGACTCAGCTATGTTGAATATAAACCTCAAAAACCTAGTCCAAAATCCAGAGGAAACACCAAAATTCTTAGTGGATTTTTATTTTTCATTACTAAAAGTAACTAATTCACCCCTAAATCTATATAATACAAACAAAAAAAAAGTATCTTTCAGAACAATTTATATTACTGAAAGAACAAATACACATTAGCTTATGTTTTTTAAAATTTTTTGTGAAGCAACTGCAAAATAAAAAGTACTTTATACATCCCAGTGACAGCTTTCATACAGCTTCATAGCCCATCTGATTTCATCAGCTGCACTGACACTTCAAATTACTGTTATCAGCAAGAGCTGCACAAGACTACATAATGAAAATATGTAAAAGTTAAATCTCTGGTGCTGTGACAGTACCACTCAGTAGATGAAAAATGACTCCATGAAACATTAAAGTCTGGAAAGAGTTATATATGAGCTTAATTACTTTTGCTTGAGAATTCTTCCTGGCATACCAGCCAAATTCCTTGCCTGTTTCTGATTTTTTTTTTCCTCCACTTTCTCTGCCAGGGAAGAAAGAAGCTCACAGAATGGTATTGGCTTTATAGTGGACCCAGATAGATTCATCATCAGCCATTTCTCTGAATAATCAAAAGCCTGAAATAACCCCTCCCCTCCCTCTCATCATGGGGATTTGAGTCTGGACCTAAAATAAAGTCCCTGGAAGTCCTACTGTAGAGGAACAATTCAAAACTGAAAACAGAAACAAGGAAGAATTTCTATTTCCTGGAGGTCAAGAAACTCTTGACTGCATGGGAACCTCTTGATGACAGGGTATTGTAAGAGTTCAGTGGACAATTTGAGGAAGACCTTTAATGTTAAGAAGCCTCTTAACCAGAGGAAAAAAAGGAGTTAACATTGCATAGAAAGTTTTCTGAAAGTTTTCTGAACTACTTCTCAATAATTTTCAAATTTAATATTTTCACATGCAAGATGATCCTGCAGTTCATGTGCTCCATCAGCTGGACACCACTGAAATTTGTGCAGCTTTGCAATATTGCATCATCACAGGGGCTTCACCAACATTTCCTGGTGTCAGTAGATCACCAAGGTCTCTTCAACACAGGGTCAGCACCCAAATTAGAGACAGAATAAAAAGGATTTGTGGAAACTCTGCACCTGAGGGTCTGCACAAGAGTAGGAAAGGGACCTACGCTCAGGCTGGCAGGTATCAGGAATTCTAGAAATCAGATCAGCACAGGGGAAAACAAGTCTAGCAGCTCATTCTGTAGGGTTTTTTTACATTTTCCTCTGAAATGCAAAAATTAAAGAGTTAGAAGTAAACATATCCCACTGATAAGAACTGACAGCTTAGAAGTAATTGAAGTATTTTAGGGCATTCTCCTGAGCGTAGATAATTTAAAAATGCATCTTAAATACCAGCAACAAATCATTAAACCTAATTATTCTTCAACTTTTTTTTTTTTTTTTTTTTTTCTTCTGTAACACTTGCCACAAAGATATCAGAAACACATCACCTCTTTCTCAGAAAGCATCCTTGGTACCATTCATTGGAGACTGGAAGAGAATACCCAGGGAAGCTGAGTGCTGACCCTGCTTTTGTGTTCCTTCAGAAGTGCTGCTCTGAGTCACTGTGAGGCTGAAAGGAGCTCTCCCTCTGAACTGGTTTATGCTGTTTCCCTTCTCTGCTCCTCTTTTCATACAATGCATGCGAAAGGAAAATCAATTTGGGGAGAAAAAATAAAAGGAAGCATAGAACAGCTCCTGTGAAGGGAATTGCTTCCAGCACAACATAAGAAATGTGGGTCCAGCCCTGATTAAGTTCTACACTGATGGTTGCAAATAGGGTATTAAAATAAGCAGCGGAGCAAAATCCATCCCACTTTTAGATCAGGGATATGTTAGTCTTTCTAATGTCAAACCTATGGTTGAGTCCTAGCACATAATGAAGAGGTTTCATGAATTTCATAAAAGAGAATACATAAGGTGGTGACATATCTTTTAAACAAAGCTTCTGATTACACTTTTCTTCAATAATGTGAAAACATGCTTTTGCTAAGGGGGATATAATGCCACATGTTATTGCAAACAAACCTTTAACTGAATAACTTGGGAGTGTTTCATAATGTTTCCTCAGGTAAAGTAAAGATTCACATTCTAATAAAGTCTTTTTATGTTGCATCCTAAATGAGTTTCACAGATGCTCAGTCTATTCACAAATCACATACAAGTCCTGTTTTACATAGGGACTGTTACACTGCAGAGAAGTCTATAAAATAACTCCTGGTTATTTTGACCAC